ATAGACAATACAATGAGATTGCAAGGTATGTTGTATTGCTTATCTAAATAAATATTAAGAACAGTGGTTAAAGTCAATGATCATCTCTAATGTGTTAAGTTTCAGAATGATGGAGCTGAGGTATATAAAGAAAAGAGAGAAGTTCGAATGAAAGCAGTGAGAAGAGGAAACGCATATTATGTTGAATCAGGAAGCAGTAATGAGGCAGCATATATATCAACAAAGAAGGAAGCGTGGTATGCACATGCTAATATAAGGATCATCGAAGAGATGGAGAATGAACACTTGGCAATAGTTATAAAAATTAAAGATAAATTGAATGTAAAGTGTAAATGTTGCATTAAGGCAAAAAAGTGTAGAAATATCATATAATTTCATATTAATAAAACTAATATATTTGTTCTAACTAGGTTATAATGAAGGCAATTATTGATGATATTGAGTTAGAATTATGGACAACCGAAGGTCTAAAGGCATGTAGAAATTTGATACAATTATGGAAGGTTATTAGAATGACACTATATTTCACAGTATTATCGAAGGATTCATAACACAAGATGGTGATCCCACAGGTACAGGAGAAGGTGCTAAAATATATAGAGAACCATTTAAAGTGAGACTATATTTAAAAATGAAATGAATTCTTTTTTTTATTAAAAAATAATTATTGGATATATATGTTTTAGGAGGAATTTCATTCGAGATTACGTTTTTGTCGACGAGATTTAATTGCTATGGCTAATGCTGGAAAAGATGACAATAGTTGCCAATTCTGCCTTACTCTTAGTTCTACACCAGATTTGCAGAATGAACATACAATCTTTGGTAAATTTACTGGAGAAATTATATGTAACATGCTTAAACTTGAAGAAGCACTTGTAGGTGAGGTAAATTTAATGTTTACAAAAAAATATATTAAGAATTGATATAAATATAATATTTCCCCTTTTTGGTAGAATGATGGATCACTTCATCCTCCAAGATTGATAAAGAATATAATATCAAACAATCCATTTTCTGCTATTATACTAAGAATTATAGTGCAGGTATGTGAAGAAGTAAAGGACAATTCATAAACTAAAGCAGCAGGAGTAAAGTAAAAATGTTTGCACAATTTAGCCCTGATAGTATTATTCTTTGTAATGAAAAATTTTGTTACAGAAATTTCAATGTTTTATCGTTTGGTGGAGAAGCAGATGAAGATGAAGAAGAATCTGTGATATTACATAAAAAGTTTAATGGTAAGAGCAAATCAGCTCATGATCATTTAACTGATCCAAAATTAAGGAAAGTGACGACGAAGTAAAAACTAAAGACGAATTAGAAATTATGAAGAAAGAGAAAGAGTTAGTTTATTGTTTACATTATAACTATATTATAGAAAGCAGGAATTTTTGTTGACTGCCTTATATTTATATTTTCAGTGAAATGAAGGAAAGGATAAAAAATAAAATGAAAGTTAGAAGAAGAGAACCGAAGAATTATGTCGTTAAATATTATCGTGTATATGTGAAATTTTCAAAGTACTTACCTAAGCATAGAACTATGGTAGTTTAATTTTTTTTTTACCAAGAACAAAATTACTCGCCTTTGTCTGTGACTTCATGTTCGTCGGGCTGTTAAGAGAATAAAGGCAAGGAAGGAAAATGTGTTATACTTATTTGAGTCGTTTTTTTATTTTGTTTCTCGCACTCTACGCGTCACGTTGTTTCCGATTCTTTCACTTCAATCAGCGCCATCTATGATTCTAAGTTCGAAGCTCAAGTTTCGCAACGAGAATTCTCATATGATTGCTCATGCGCACGTGTATATATGTAATACATTCATATTCTGCGCGTCTTCGCATATATGCTCTAAATAAATTTCAAGATCAGTTTCAAAAATAATCTGTCAATACTAAACGGTGTGTGATGTCAATTCTGAACGACGGAGCCATCTACAAATGGTGAGTTGCACGCTTTGTAATTACTTCTATTTATATCATGGGACGAATGGTTCGAAAGGACCAATGACAGATTATATTATATTTCATAGCGAGCATTATAGTGACGAATGTTATTATCCATTAATATACATATGTAGCGAATCGTCATTTAACAAATCGGACCATATGGTATTGCGCAATAAAGGAAGTGTGTGAGATACCGAATAGGATGAACCATAACGAGCAATACTGAGCATTGCCGTAGGTACAGACCTGAAATATTAATCGGTAATGAAATAAATACCATAGGAATAATTTATTTTATCACTATACAAAGAAGTATCACTAAGAACATAAAAATAAAAATTTTGAAATTGTTACGGATGAACTCAAGCAAAGCAGATGGAATACCTTTGTGAACTTTGCATCTTTTCTTAGTCTTCTTCGTTTTCTACACAATAGTTTCCCTATCTCCCGCATCAGACTGGGTTATGGTTGACACATTGAAATCCATTTTCCTTCTTGTTTTCGTTTCTGTTCCCCGATTATTTTTCACGTCCTTGGTCTTTAAGACTCTCTGTAACTAGCTCCCGGATACTTTTCACTGTTCAACCTTACGACCCTCTCGAGCTTCCTTGGACTATGTTGTTATTGTCGGACGAAGGACAGCTTTAATACATACATCATACGAAATACATATTTGAAGCGATGTTTGCTGGCATCGGCATAACATTTTTGTGTCAAATTTTTAACACCGTTTTATGACGTAAAGATAGTTGACTTTTTAAATTTTCATCGAATATTTTAACTGTGGATCATTCGAATCAACTAACATTCGGTATTCTATTAAAGATAGACAGGTTTGGCATGTTATTTAAAATAGAAAAAGTGGTCTTGGAGTCCGAAAATATCGTTATTGGCATGGTATAGTCTCCTTCATAATGTACAATTTTTATGAACAAAGTTAATTCAGTTCTCTAAAGCCGACGAAGATGATTAAGGTGACAATATACTATATACGACTTTGGCTAGTTAGATGGATAGATCATCAGTATACCAGCGCACTCGGTGAATATTCAAAGTCGATTTTCTCGACAACGAAGCTTCAAATGAAAAATTTTATTCTTTATTTTCTATTTGTTTTTTCATGTAGAATCACACCATTCCCGGTTGTACTACTATTTCTAAGACACGCTATATATATGCACGATGTATATACTCATATGATATGTTATGACATTAGAGGCTGGAAGGAGGATCGTCGTATCGATAGCAATTCAAAACGCTTCATTGGATCGCTCGTGAAAATCTTGCATCCATCTTACTGGGAATTGGCATGTTTCCATTTTGTACTTGTAACTCTGTACTATCTATCGTCAGCGTATCTTTTTGCTTAACGTTTGCAGCATCTTTCGCGTTAGTGAAGCAAGTTTATCGCTATTAGAAAGAATACAGGTAATCTCCGTAATCGTTTCCTTAATAAAATATAAAATAAAATTACATTTTACAAATTAATTAAACATGTATATAATATTTCAAGGATTATATATATATATATATATTTATACATATAATATCTTATTTCTTATCTAGATCTAATTAGCAAATTTAATTTTTGTATCTAAGATTTCGAGATAAAGGATTTGATGGCTTTGCTGAAAGTATTTTCCTAATTAATTATACTACTTGGAAAACTTAGACAGAAAATCACGGTATTCATATTTCATTGTAACAAAATATATTTCACAGATTCTTGTTGGACTTTCATTCCCAAGCGACTGATTTAATAAGGAAAAGTAATCTGACATCGAATTTCGATACGGTTCTCACTGAAACCAGAATATTTCATAGGGGATATGTATAGCAGGACGAGTATAGATATCCGATCAATTCAAAGAGGTATTAAATTATTATCATCGTTGCCAGTTAGTCATTGCTTACTGAACAATCATACTCTATTTAATCTCCTCTCTGGACATTTTCTATCTTCCTTAACAAAATCTATGAATTAATTATCCATAGTTGCCTAGAATTTTTAGGTGAGCGAGAAGGTTGTATATCTTATATTTAAATGTGCCAAGATTTGACGAATGATTGAATGTAACAAAGAGACAAAATTGATTGAAATTTAGCGAATTATGTTCTCTACTTTGGTCGGTGCCTCATGTGTCACGTGTTGAGGAAATAAAAATAAGTTATGTGCTAGTTAAGGCACATCTCGATAGTAACAAATTAATTATAACAGCAATAATAAATTAATTATAACAACAAATTTCTAATACAGCTTTTCAGAGTCGAAAGAAAGAGTTCATAAAAGATCTACTAAAAAATGCTCTTTTATAAAATCCAAGTAAGAAGAAGGTTCAATTTTATATAAATATTTAACAATCTCACTAAAGTAACTTCCTGTTAGAAGCAACCTGTTTGTTCAGAATAGTCTGTAACATCGTACCATGATTTCTTTAATATGAAATCTAATCGCAGTATTATCGTCGAAATAAACAGGAAAATCCAACTTCGTTGTTTCCCATGCATTTCGAATAACAGTGTTTTTATTTAGAACGCTAAACGAGATAGAAAACTGTTAAGATCGAAATTTTTCCATTCCACTGGGAATATCGCGTAAGGCGAGTCTCCCCTAAAGCAACTAAAAGTTTTAATTGCTATTTCCACTTTTATTCACATAATCTTTCCTCCTGAAAAATAAAAGTATAGTTACGTTGTCGTTATGTATTGTACTCGCTTTTATTCGTCTTATGGGTATATTAATCAAGTTATCGATATATATCGAGATATCGATAACATTTTGATCCATCGATATTTATCGATAATCGCATCTCTAGGCGCGAGATGTCAGTGAGAACCGCACGAGGTGTACCTTAACCTCGCTATTTCCTTTGAAACCTAACCTTACTATCGGATCTATCGCTACCTCGATCGATACCTCTACTCGATTCTCGAATTTATCTTCGCTGCATCGCGCAGGTTATATCCTTGACGAGTCGAGACCAGTGACTGGTTTTGCAGGCGCACCGGTGTCGTGGCCGTTGGGGGTGGCTTTGACGCTGGTGCCGAGGAGAGGCGCAGAACGTGTTCGATCGACCCGCGAACGCAGCCCGTGCTCACACTGCGACAGAGTTCACTTCAGTCAGTCGCTATTTGCTTGTCGACCGCGTACAGTCGCGTCGGTTCACGATCTTTTCCCTCTCTTTCTTCGTGAAAGCCTTTTCGCGGTAGCCGGCCTATAATATTGCCAACTTGTCGCGCGATTATCGCTACCGTTCCCCTTTTTACCCTGTGTTCTCCGCAAAAAGAAAAAAGGCATTTGCACGGACCTCCGTCGTCTGCTAGGAGTACTTTGCTCGGACACATGGGCTGCTAGGCACGAGGGATGATTCAGGCATAAACGTGATGCACTTTGGAGGTAAATTTTACGTGTTCTGTTTTCATAGCACTTTTTAATAGAATTCGGGATCAAAAAACTGTGGTTACTTTCTGTGACACGGGTTGGTTGGCTTTGAATTTGTTTCATGCTTCTGTGGTACAACAAACTGAAATTTTTATAAACTGTATGACTGTAAGAGTCTTGGGTTCTTGGGAGAATTTTTAGAAATTTCGACAGCTTTCTGAAATGTTACTGATGCTTTTGCAACATGAAAAGCAATGATAAATGTAAAATTTGAGGAATGCGCGTTTTTTTATAGTAATTAAATTTGCCCAGTTTGTGGTATAAAAATAGATATATAATACTATATATATATATACACATATAAATAATATAAGAATATATCAGTTTTAATATGTTAATTTCGAATAATTATTGCGCGAAAAGGTTAAAACGTGATTTAATTTTTAGATTTTCCGTACTTAATGACTTTGAATCAGTTTAATACCTAAAGCGATATTTTTTTTTTCATTTAATTTGGGGAAATGTAGGTGTCGAAGCGCGGGTTATATATTCCGAGCGTTAAAGTTAATTCAATACATCTGCGATGAAAGTTGCGGAGTTGGAGTACAGATGTTCGACAGCCACTGTGCTTCAAAACAAGTATACAAATCTTCAGGAAATTGTTTCAAACTTAGCTCTTAATAAAACTCTGCAATATGAGCATAAATTCTGTTTTTACTACTCAAAGTTACTCTATCCTGACTACAAATTTTATTATAGTTGGGATAAAATTCCAAGATTAATACTGGACTATATTTATAAATTGAGGAAAATTATTCAAGTACATTTAAGTAAAATATATCATACGAATGTATATTCTATTTCTGATAGATTGAAAGTTTGTATTATAGAAATTTAAAGTACGAATAATTAGTCATTTTACATATAACTTTCAAGAAAAGGTGAAATGAAAATTACAAAAAATTAATAATTTTATAAATGGTTAAATATTTATAAAATTTATATTTAATTGTAATATTGTTCTTAAGAAAAATTGTCCTTGCTGTATAAAATAATTTTTCATTTGATATTTTCTGGTATATAGTAGGTAAATGTTTCACGACCATATTCAAAAATGTGGAAAAAGATATATTTTCCATATTTATTGTATTATCTTTAATACAGAGGAAAAGCATGCGGAAAATAACCAAACATGTTTAATGTTGCAAAAATTGCATTCATTCTTGTTACGAATCGCGTACAAAACATGTAGGATGACCAGCAATCGAAGCGGAAAGAGTTTCATGAGAAAAATTAATGCGAATATGCATGCAAATATACACTAAATCTTCTGTAAAACATTTCTAGACGATGGTGCTAAATTTCATATTTCAGATATTTCATTTAAAAGCGAAAATAATATACGACAAAAATATACGACAATATTTAATTATTTTATCATATCATATCGTTATCAACAAGTTAGTTTAAAAAAGGATAAAATTTTGATTTATTTACTGTTATACGTTTCTCTGATTTAATTAAAATGGTAGAAATCAGAAAGTGTATTATTTTGGATATAAATTGGAATATGAGTATTGCACAGGTATGAAATTTTTAGTATATTTGTAATAACCATACTGGACGTATATTACCAATCAAATCTACAGCTAGTATATCATTTATATTATTTACATGATAACCTTAAGTACGAAATTAAATAAACATTTACGTTTATTATCTTTATTCACTTTAGACTAGGTTCGTTGATAGCATACTTGTATCTCATAAACACTTCCTCTGATAATAAATACAGGAAATTTCATTTTCACGAATATTTAGCTGGATTCGAGATGAGAAGTATAGCAATATGTCTGTCGTAGCAGTAATAAATCTAATGTAAGATTTAATACATTTTGTCGAAAGTAATAATTTGCATAAAAATATATTTTTCCTATATTCGATCGCCAAAAAGTTTGTATATCCACAGTCCACGTTATTTATTAGAAAATCGTAAAGATAAGTTGAAAAAGATAACATAAACGAATATCATAAAAATCTTGTGCAAAATTCTACGTCTATCATGTAAAAAGATTTTACAACTTCAGAAAGAATACTACTAATACACATATACTACTTGTCTTAAGTAATACACATTATGTATCTATGCTACTTGTTTTTTAGGTTATGTAGTAACAAAATTATGAGAAAATTTTAAGTTTATCGTGTAAAAAGAATTTACAACCTCAGAAAGAATAGTACATCTTTGTTTGAAATAATACCGAAATATGTATGTACACTACCTGTCTTTTAGATTATATAGTTATATAGTTGGAAAACTATAAGCAACTTTAGTCATTTTTCCCATGGCGAAGCACGAACTCAGTTATGGGGACTTAACAGTAATAATAGAACTTGCAAGAGCTTATTACACGAAGCAACGTAATTGCGTTGGGACTCGGTACGGAAAACAATGTCAACGGTAGATGCGTTTGCTCCGCGAATGTGTAACGCGTGAATAATAGACTAGATGGCGGCAATCACGCGAACCCTAGCTGCCTCCATTTCTACGCCATCACGTTCGACCAGAGAGTATACGAATCCTAAGCACTGTCGTAGGTTCAAAGGCCAGCCGTTGGGGCTCGTTTCGTTCTATATTTTTAATCAAATGATGGATCGACGATTCGCGACGATTTCGAACATCATTACACTCCTCAGGGAATTTTAAGCCACGGTTCGTCGACTTTGTGTTCTCGTTGGCTCCGTAATATAGAGTCCCCGATGAACAAGCTGAAACTTGAACCAGTTTCGAGAAAATGAAAGGTTCTTTTGTTTTCCATTTCTGCCTTGTTCTTCTTTCACTTTGCGTTAATTAGTATTAACTACCGGAGATGTTACTCGAGAAAGCGCAATTTTAACTGAATTCAAAATCATTGGCGGAGACATTAATGGTATCACGACGTCAATTTTAATACCATAATTTATGACCTCGCTATTAGCACACATAGCGATTTTATACATATGTAGGACAACCCAGTAACGGTAGTGAAACCGGGAAGAGGTTGTAGAGATTCTACATAAAAAAGCAAATCGAAAATATAAAATAAAATTTTTTCATTTGAAGCTTCGTTGTCGAGGAAATCGACTTTGAATATTCACGAGTACACGTGCACTTAACTTTGGCTAATAACCATCAGTATACCAGCGTGCTCGGTGGATATTCAAAGTCGATTTTCTCGATAATGAAGCTTCAAACGAAAAAATTTTATTCTTTATTTTCGATATGTTTTTTCACATAGAATCATGTCCTCTTCCACCAATATCGATATATCGATGGTCTATCCATCTAAATCATACTTAAGTGCACACGTACTCAGTGAATATTCAAAGTCGATTTTCTCGACAACGAAGCTTTGAATGAAAAATGTTTACTCTTTATTTTCGATTTGCTTTTTCACGTAGAATCAAGTAGAATAAACTTTGTACAAGGAAGAATCAACCTTGTATAGTACAATCCCTTTGCAGTTGTACTACTGTTGCTGGGACATCCTGCATATATTGTCTTTGACAAGCAAATAAAGGCCAATCAAAATGAAAACAATTTAGAGATAATTTAAAGGTTAATTAAATCATAGCAAATTAATAGAATTCTGTAATTTACGATATTAAGATTAAAATTGTATCTTTTAGGATTTAGAATACTGTGCATTATAAAGTGTATTATATAACCTAAACAATGAATACATGTGTGGAATTTCATATTCACGTTTGAGAAACATTTTCAAGTAATAATATTTAGATTTCCAACGTGCAGGAAATCTAAAATTCAGGGGTATATACATTACATTCAAATCTACGTCAAGGGTGTATACATTATATTAAAGTAACTCTTGTTAATGGTAATTATAAGGGCAAACATACTCTTCTTTTTCAAATGACATAAATTTTTCTAAAGACAGTTTTTCGAATATAAATGCAATGCATAATTTAGTGATTGTTTGGTAAAGATTTATAAAACAATAAAGGGACAGTTTGCAGAAACTATTGTTATACTTAGTATACTTTGCTACATCTTGTAGTTATCGTGTTTCTGCATCTAGCTACATTTAAATAGAAACCATCAATTACAAGCTTTTAATTATAAGCTTATTCCGCAATGAGGGTGTATTACCGTAAGTTCATCTCGAATATACACATTAGTGAACCGTTGATAGCTATAATTCCGATTGCTATTCTATACATTCCAGGAACTCGATAATTTACCAGGAGGCTGCTTCAACCATACAGAATGCACCTATAAATAATCGATTACTATTAATACTCGAAAGTTCCCGATGCAATTTAATTCTCGCGATGTGAAAATAAATCGAGGTAGCTGATTGACCATCATCGGTAAAAAAAATTGAATGATTTCAAATACAATATAGCAATATGAGGAATAAAAGGGTTAAAATCTACATAATATCTTCAAATCTCTATATACTTAATCTATTTCTCGATAAATTTTTGCATTCGTCATCAGAAGAAAATTGACGCTTCCCGTATAGAAATATCACGTTCTTTAGGTTAAATTAAATTCCTATATCCTTCTTAATTTTTGTCTTTCTCACATTCTTCAAAGAATTGAATTAAGAGACGATTGACAATATTTCCATCTTCTTTTGCACTTGGTTTGAAATTTATTAATAAATATAGGAAAAGGTGCGAATAAAAGGAACTGCTTTGAGCGTCCGGCACGTTTTTCGAGGTTAAGGTTAACCGTGATATAATCAGAACTTTTATTCTTGGTATTAGAAAATGAAAAAATAAGTTCTTTGACTGTTTAGCTTTCTTTGTAGAATAAACTTTTCACTTCGCTGACGCAATGACACCGTGCAGATCTATATATATATCGTTTGATCGATAGGAAAAATACGCGGCTTCTGACAAAAAAACCCATGATCGAGCACCGCGATTATGGCTGCTATGGAATTTGATTGGAGAAAGGGTGGAAATTTATTGACCACGTTCGAATTTGAAGATTAAACGAGGTACTCTGAAATTTCGAGTTTCAGTCGAATTATCCTTTTGTTCCAACATATCGGTGCTCTTTGATGGCAAGTATAACGCAATTTTCGCGGAACTGCAAGATTAATCCAGTTATGTAAATGATATCGTAACAGCTGCCACTTCAAGTCGCATAATGGCATTATGTTTCTGAATCTGGAACGTCGAATAAATTGAATTTCAATAAACGCTCTTATCATTCTTGGTGTGTTGTAATAATTTATAATTATCGTGCAATCGCCATTACTCTCGTATACAAAATTGACATACTCCTCGTAGCTTTTGATTTAAAATAATATTCAATTAACAATCTTTTTCTATCACTTGTATTTGTAAGCATTATTTAAATTAACTTTGAATTCGTATTAATATTGATATCAAAGATGGGGGAATATAATTTGTTGCGGGCCTAGGACCAACGTCTCAAGTTAAGCGAGGGTCATCGGTCACCGTCTTTGGCTGATAGCGGTCATTGCCTGTGATCATAGGAGTCAGCCAGTCGTGAGGATATAGACCTTCTTTCCTCGAACGCACAGTAGCACATTGGCGCTCAGATCCGTAGTCGCAAGAGGATCAGTTTAGAGTATAGCACATCCCTGCAACATTGTCGCATCCTCGTAATGGACCTTACGATCCCGCGAAACTTTGAACGTGAGAATTGGTGCTTGGGATGCAACATAATTTATATTGTCAATGACAGTATAAGAAATATAACAGAACGAGCTATAACCTCGATCTTTCTACCAAGAACAATCTATTTAGTTCAATTTCGAATTTTTATAACGACTTGCATTAACGAGACACTTGAATTTTTCGGCAGAGATACGTCATACCAGATGAATCATTTAGAAAGCTGTCGGAGAAAGCTGCAACCCGGCATACATTCCGAAAATTCGATTCCTCTCGCAAACACGAGTCGCAGGTCACAGAAGCTAACCTCGCAACCGATTGAAAACATGTTTCGCAATTTGAACCCGCTTTTGGCAGGGTGTGTACACCGGGAAAAGCAACGCGGTCGAAAAGTAAGAAGAAAGGCGGAAAGAAAAAGCAGGGAGGAAGTGAAAGCTCGGTAACAAGTTTGATTCTCTGAAATTGCTCGTGTCGCCGCGATATAGAATTGCCAGTGCGTCATTTCCGTACTCTCGCCCTTGCGAGAACGGTTTTCCTCGTTAAGAAAAAAGAAAAAGGAGGTTGGGAGAGGAGAAAGGAGGAGGAGAAAAGCGCTTTTAAAAAGCTGGCGAGGCGTACGTTGCCACGGCGGGACACGCGGTGCTCGTTGTCGCTTGAAATTGCAGCGCAACGAGTCGTTTTCGAAAGCTTTGCCAGGGGCAAGTGTTAAAAACATTCGTTTGATTTTGTTGAATTAAACAAGAGACTGAAGGAGAAGGAAAATACTGATTGTCAAAGGCTATTTCCACTTGAAATATAACGATGTTGGAATAACAGCTGACCCGGCTCTTTTAAGTGCATTCTCAGATTTTTCTCCGGCCTTTTACCGAGACGTGTCAATGCAGGTTATTAATTACCAAAGATAGAATTATCACTTGTCGTATTTAGCTGAATTATTCCGCACTGAAACTAAGATTTATACGATGCTATACCATCCAATTTTATTTTAAGTCTTGGTTTACTATTATTTTGAAGTATCTTGAATATAGAGCATGGAGCAAAATTACAAGTAGACTTTCTGAGTTTAGGTTATGACGGAACTTTCGTTGTGAATATTCAACGAGTACCGAAGAATTCGATAATTTCTTTCTTAATAGTTTCTTACGTTCTTAATTCAAAAATTCTTCGAAAAGCGGATAGCTCAGCTCAGCTTGCGACTCCTGGAATACTTCGTGATTAGGTACAGTCTACGATGCTCCATTAAACGTTACAATTACTTAGTAAACGACACTCACTGCACTGCATGTACCTAAAGAAAGCTCAAGTACGAGTTGAATGTCCAACATTATCCCTCTTTATTATTTTTAGAACGAGATGACCGCATTACGATAAAAGTTGAACAAGTGGCATTAGCTTTTTATTATTCAATACGTTCTAACGTGGACTAATCGATCGCGATCGCAAACGTAATTTAGAGGTTAGGGAACTAAAGTAATTTATTTAGGGTGCCATACCTGTGTCATCCCGATGTCGTGTCATCGGCCATGCATTCGCTGATTCGCGATCTCTTTTCAGAAAAGCAAACCGAACATCGACCGACACTGTTACGAAGGATATTTTTAGAAGGAAAAGGTGAAACGCAGGTCAACGGAATCGTAATGGTCGCGGGGAGCAAATTACGAATCGGCAAGGTGGCATGATTCTCACGGGGGTGAATCGCGAATCCAAAAATCGACGCAATTTCTATAGGAGTAAATCGCTAATCGGCTGAATCATATCAGCCAATTGGCGATTGTTGGAAGCACGTCATTTGCGGGGGGCATAAAAACGGAACCCTGTTTAAAAAAAGGGGGGAGTCCTGAGTGAAGAAGCCTCGAAGAATCCTCGTGTAAATAGACTGTGATCGATACGGGGGTGAGTTCGGTGTCGAATAGAGACGAATAATAGCGTGTTTTTCGTGTGTTATAGTTACGTCAATTGTGATGTTATTTTCTTGCGTTAAATTAGTTTTCAAGGTTAGTGCGCGTTTTATTCTGTTTATTTTCTTCTGTCTGCTTTCTTGTGTCTCAAACCGTCCGCGCAGACCCGATATTCCTTCGATAAAAGCAGAAACACATATACATTATTTCTGTAAACTGAAGACAAAATAAAACCTGTTTTCGGCATCATACATTTATATACGGATAAATGATTAGGCATTAGGACGGATGAATAATTGACAAAGACGGATAAATGACCGATCACTGTAAATAATAAAATTAGTTTTCAAGTAACTTAAGAGAAATATCGTTTAATATCTTTCGCGAATTTTAAAGCGGACTTGAACAATTGTTAAACTCGAGCAACTAATATCGGGATAGATAAAGTTCTCGAGGTAGATAAAACGAGCTGTTCATCATCGGAGATTAACAAGTGTAAGATTCTACTGGGGGATGATTTATTCCAATGGAAAAGGGAGAGTGGTTTAAGTGGGACTTGCAGTAATAACGTTAAGAAGAAAGTTTCTCCACTTTGTATTTACCAATGATGGAGAAAATTGTTGCAATAAATGAAACGAAATTTTATATTATAATTCCACTGTTAAGAGGATAGAATATTATTCAATCTTTTAAAATTGAATTCAAAATTGAACAGTATAATTTATATCTATAATTTATACTTTTTAAAGCCCTGCTTAAAAATCATGTAATATTCCAATATCGTAACAGAATATTGAACTTTAATTCTCTATTTATTAATTAAAAGTGTAAACGCGATACAGAGTTAATCCACTTCGTGCAACATGCAGATATAAATTTATAAATCACAATTTTTCTATTTTTCCCTTTTCAATTTATTGAAATGTTTTATATTTCACGATTCTACCCGATATCATGGTGAATGCTTCGGAAGCTGCAAATTTTCGAAATTTAAATTTTTAAAAAGGAAGGGAGCATTGCATCACGTCGGCGAAGAAAAATAAAGGCTAGCGCTAATTTTCGTCATTTACATGCAATCACACAGCCAACTAAGAGCGCGAGTACGGCAATTATCCCGCGTTAGGATCAATCATTATAGTCCTACGCAAAATTGATCCAATTACGTGAAAACGAGTGTGCTCTGATTTCTGTCGCAGATAACGTGTGTCTGGCTGCTGCAGTACGCGCCCAGTGGTTGCTTCAATAGCTGGTTTCCATATATTCTTCGTGGGGGATATCATCCTTCGATTTTCTGCGTCCAACAATCAAGGACCATGAACAGAAATTCAAGCCTTTACTCGAGGATACTAGCGTGGACATCCTGTTTACTCGCTGTTCTTCTCATTCTGCTTCCCTCGAGGACTGGTAAGTCGATATTCAAGTACCATAAGGTCGGTCATCTACGATTCCTTTTCAAATATTCGATAAATCAGGAAATAATAGCAAGGAAATTTTCTGCGTTATAAATAAAAAGATTAAATTTTAATTACACCGTTTTAAAATCACAACTCGGTTGTATATACAAGGTGCTTAGAAAGTAAGGTCCGAGTCTCGAGGAACTTACGATACGTGGACACTTCTCTGACGCAAACATCGAATGCAACTCTTGTTAACCGAAATAATTAATTACTTTGACGAATTGATTAATTCGATCAACCGACTTTGCGTCCAATTATCAAACGCCATCGATGTTTCATTGAAACAATAAAATCCAGTCGAGTAATTGATGCCCGTTGTAATTATTTGATAATCGTGCGCGGAATCGAAACGATTCGACCTCGTTCCAACGCAAATCGTTTCTAGGTGGAGACAGGAATTAATAATTCTCGCATCAATTGTTCGATCAATTGTTCACAAATTCAAACACGCTTGAATGGCGGAAACCATTTATAACTTGTATCCTGCAACGTGGGTCGAGTATATCTCCCATTGAATTTTCTCTTCAGTTTCACTGTTTACTCCGTTAAATATGCTATAAAATATTTCGTAAACTCGTATGTTCACGTATGAACATTGGTCGATTTTTAAATGTTAGATATTCTTTTTGTCAAGAGTTAGTACCTATATCCTAGTGCATATAGTGTCACTCCCGATTGTATACTACGACACTGACAACTGTTATAAATCAATTTCTTTCATATACATAGTGTCCCAGCAACGGTAGTATAAGGGGATGATTCTACGCGGAAAAACAAATCGAAAATGAAGAATAAAATTTTTTCATTCGCAGCTTCGTTGCCGAGAAAATCGACTTTGAACATTCACTGCGTACGCTGGTATACCGATGGGTCCATCCATCTTAAGTTAAAGTGCACGCGTTCTCGTAAATATTCAAAGTCGATTTTCTCGACAACGAAGCTTCGAATGAAAAACTTTTATTCTTCTTTTTCGATCTGTTTTTTCATGTAGAATCAGTTCCTGCTCGGTTGTGCCACCATTGCTAGATACCCTGTATTTAACATCTCATTTTCACATATTTCGATTCATGTTTGATAACTTTCCCATCGTTTCGCAGCAAAGTAATTTTGTGTTCTTTGGAAGGGGCTCTTAAAAAGTCCTGATGGTACTTTTCATTTCCAGGCAATACCAAAAATGGTCCCCCTTTCCAATCTTTCGACTTCCTTTGTCTCTCCACTGTATCATAAAAGGATAGTACAGTGAGAATTCTTTGGTATTTTATACCATATATTACCCACGTGAAAATTTTGTCCTCGGTTAAGAGGTTAAACAACTTCTTCGTCTAACGACGTTTTAATCGCATCGATATCCGATTAGAGTGTACCGTGGCAACTGCAATGCGGATTCGGTGAACAAAAATCGCCGGCACGCAGTGGCTCGTGCAATTACGCGACTAACGCAGCTGCGCGTGCGATCATCGAGTACCGAAGGTATTCAAACGAGAATGGTTTTCAGCCGCCTTGGAGGAGAACTGCACGGACTTCCAGGGGACGATCGTTCGGCATGGTCTCCTCTATGTACCGGGTCCTGCGGTTTGCAGTCTCTGCGTCTGCTATCATTCGGAGCCAATGTGGTGTCGATCGATCTTCTGCACGCCACCCTACGTGAGTACATGTCTATTCAAAGACGATCGCTTAATATACGTATCATGTGACTAAAGTGCACTGTTAACACCCTCATAGCCGTACATACATATTTGGTACCTGAGCTAACTCTATTATCTTGGATCACTACTGAAAAAAAAATAAGCGAGTAATGTATATATAGTAATCAGCGTTTTAATGAAATTTAAGAGAATATCGATTACTGATTATATTGTTGACGTAATTCGACCAGCTTGAATCACTTGCTCCTAAAAAAAAAAATAAAATATTCGAGTAGTATATTTATATATAAAGGGTGTTTCAAAATTCACGCAAGAAGTAATTTTGATAGGAAACAAAAAACTTTAGTTATTTTTAAAATATTGCTCCAATAAAGACGCGTCGTTTTTTCATATAGCGCTATTTTTAATAACCGTGAGCTGTCAGCTGTCATACTGTCTTTTCTTTTCGTTGACAACACTTTATCGCACAAATTGCGTTAAATTCAAATCTTGCGTGAAATTTGCGACATCTTCTGGTAATCAGTGTTTGAATGAAATTCAAGAGAATATTGATCATATCGTACTTTTATAAACAAGAAATTAGGTAAATAAAACGGTAAACGATAGTTATAGAATTATCTCGTATAAAATAAGCAGAGGCTATGAGTATCATTTTTTAGTATGTCGTATGAGATTTTACAGGTGAGAATTTTTTCATGTTCCTAAATGCAATGGAAATGTTCAAAGTTTAGATTATTAACCTTCCTCGTTTTGAAATGGCTTACAAAATATTCGCGGAAGAATTATGTTGTGATTTCTATAAAAAGAAACATTTCCATATTGAACCAGTTATTCATTTGCACGTATGAAAGTAATTTCGCTCGCGCAAAAAGACTACTTGATAGAATACTTTATAATAATTGGAGTGTGGAACCTGTTACGAAGATCAGTATACATGCTTCGAAACTAGGTTAACCATTTATTATTCGTACCTACTCGTATATTTTAATCTTCGTAATTTTTATATGAAATATTTTACACTCCGGAGTAAATTATTTCGCTCAAATTTAACAAACTTATCAAAATTAGAGCAGTCTTCTGTTTAAAAACATCTTTCGATATTTGTTAATTTGTTTTTATTGATTTCTTGTTAAAAAAGAAATTTAAATAATATTTATAAAATATTTAAGTACACTTTTCACAAAGGCAAACGTTTACCTTAAAATCACATTTATATGTTTATTTTTACATTCAATAATTAATTTAGATAGACTTTATTGGATTTATAATAAACTGTTTGAAAATTAACATATTATACAAATAATTTAGATTATTTTAGCATTCGAACTATTCATTTAAATAACGAGATGGACAAACTATTTTTAAATTCGAAATACTGGATAATATAAAGATTACGCGAATAACGAATAATTAATCCATATCAAAATCACGTTTAATTGACCTAGAACGTTAAACATTTGCAACATCATTAACGACTTATAAATCAGTCAAATAAACCACTGGGCCTGGGCCAAGGTAAACCAGACTGATGTTTTATCTCTGTTCTTCTCAAGAGTATTCTTGCTAGGATAAATACTCATAAATATTCTGTTCGAGAGGGTGATGACAACTTCGCTTACCTCGACTTACAAGTGCACTCGGTTCTGAATGTTATTACATTAATCCAGGGAATATCGTACAACCTCTGACTTGATCTCTATTGTCCTCGCGGGCCAACTAGCTTCGGAAGCCATACTCGATGAATTCGCTGGCAAGCCCCAGATGAAATGCACTTTTCTCTCCCTTTCCTTCCATTCTGCTCCCTTTTCTCGGTTGCTCTTGCATTATAGTGCCACATTGTAAACTATAACGCTTGCAACGATTGAAACGATCTCGTTTTATCGTGCAGGCTTCCATTTGAACTCACGTCACCTAAATATGGAAAGAGCAAATATACGATAAAAATGGAAATTAGGTAAAAAGGTATACCTTTTTATCGTTGTCTTGATTAATTTAATTTCTCGTAGAATTTTTTTTGAAATTAACAATTAATTCCCTTTAAATTAATTAATTTTTCGGTAATCTTAGATTTCTGGGAAATTTTTTATCTTTTTCATTTTTGTTTGGCTTTTTTACTTTTTTATTTTTTTATTCCGAATGCATGGCAATCTGAGTTATTATTTTTATTCGTTCCGATGCATAGGATCACTAAAATGTTCGTGTTGCCCAGTGTGAATTTAGTGCAACGGAGTGTCCCGAATCTGGGACAAAAATGAGAAGATGTGGCTGAATTAACAGGTCAATTACTCGAGATTGGAACTGAAAGAGGGAGAACGTCTTGCCTTTGAATGTAGAATTCTGAAATCCACGGTTCGTGACATTGCTAGGTAATTCAATTAAATGACAAATTAAAGGGTCGGGCTGAATCTGTTTTCGATAGTAAGCTCGAGAGTTTTCTCCTTTGAATTTTTAAACCAGTCAAGTTTCTGTTTGTGTATACGCGATAATGAATGCTTGTCGTTGATGAATTACGTAAGTAATTGGTACAGAAACTTTTTTCCCTTTATTTAGTTCACAGTCAAGAAAACGAAAAAAGATGCGAATTTTATATAGCATTCTTATTTTTAAAAAATTCTTATGTTCCCTGTTAATAAGTTACTTTTCTACTCGTCGAGAGACTATCCCCACCACTTTCTAGAATAAAAAAATTCACGACTAAATTAATACATTTATCGAAACAAAAGAAAATTAATTTTTTATATTTTCTACATAATTGCTGGAAGGATTTATAAAATTGGTGACAATGAAAAATAATGAAAATGAACAAAATTGTATACAGTACTAAGCACAGATATCGTTGATATATGTTCCAAATATTAATTAACAGTTGTATTATGCAAGTTACATAATTTTCAAGAATTTTAAGTTGAAAATCAGCAGTGCAAATAGTTTTCAGTAATCTTTTCTTTCTTTTTTCAACTCAGAAATCAAAATTGAATGCGTTACATAAAACTCGAAGCCATACAAGTGTCAGTGTTCGATTCAAGCCGATAAACTTTGCCAACTTCGTTAATAAAGCAATCAGTGTTTAATCAGAGAACATTAAAGTTTAATTTTTCTTGACTCGATAATTGTCGATCGGTAATCGATATTCCAATCGTTGATGAAACAGATTACGTATGTTCGTAACACTTACCTAGCGGAACGAAATGTACTTACACTGCATGCATCTCTTCGGTTTAGTTTTCTCTCAGGAGATAGCAACACGTTCAAAAGGTAAAAGTTCGTAATTAGCGACGCGCGATTCAGGGATAATGCATATTTTTCCGAGGGAAAAGGTCAGCCCGAGCGATGCAAGATTTATACGCCCGTTCCGTCAGTTATCTCGACGTCTGTTTCGCGACAGGGAACGAACGAAACGAATAATGAATATTAGTGGTGTAACGATTGCTCGATCTAGGCCATCGCACTTCCGCTACCTTTTCGTCATTTTTCTGCGAAATTTTTATTAGTCACGACGAGGTAACATTCGTTATAGAAATCGATTCGGTTCCCAGAAAACTGGCACTTGCGATGCCTTCGTGCATGTTTGGGAATCGATTATTTCCGATTTGTCTCGGGTGCTTCCGTTTCTGTTAGTCCCAGAATAATGCTACCACCTGTATAATTCGACACTGTATGGTAAAAAGTTACATAGTAATTTGGTTGAAATTTTTATTAATCGTGGCAGGATAGCATTCGTTGTAGAAATCGACTGTGATTCCCAGAAAACTGACACTTGCAAATGCCTTCGTGTTTGGGAACCAATTATCTTCAATTTTTCTCGGGTGTTTCCGTTTCTATTTATATATCTAAGTTACATAGTAATTTGTTGATATTTATAATATTGAATAATAAATTAAGAATTTATTGTTATGCGTAACGATTATTAATAACGATATATATTTCGTACTCTTATATTTTAGATATCGTTATATTAATACGTTTTAGCGAAAGTAACTCATGAAAATTTCCGTGAATGTAAGCTCGCGTTTTTCCCGAAATCGATACACGTAATCTCGCCATCAAACTTTTCATCTAAAAAGTTTCATTCACACGTACACTTTGCATTTCAATTTTCTTCCTTCGAGTACTTTCGTGCCATTAAATTGGATGTCTCAGATCTTATAGAGTTTCGTAGTGAACCATATTGCTTTCTAAAATAGAATATGGTAAATTGACAAATTATAATAATTTCTTAAAATATTCAAAATATTGCTAATTTTCGTCAGATTACCACTCGATTATTTAAATTATTGAAACTTATTGTTTATATACAGAATATTACATGCTTTAGAATATACCATATATTTCTATCATTTAGAAATTAATTTCGTAATAAGTTATGAAATGAAAAAGATCCCTATTTAAAAATTCGGGCTATCTAAAATGAGAATAATAATTACATTAATCCTATTTCGTTCAAAGAACAATTTTCCACTATACGATTTTTGGAACAAAAGGTAATTTTTGTGTACAGTTTGACATAACCTCAAAAACAATTGAAACGCTTATAAGTTAAAAGTAAACGAGACTTCAGTTGTAGATTTGGAATTATATTCGTTACGACTATTTATCTGTAATTTCGCAAAACCAGAGAAATTTATGGAAATCTCGAATTTATTCGATGGAACGATGGACAGCTGTTGTGGCAAAAGACTTTCCTCGAGAACCAATTAAAGGATCTGACGTAATGAAGAGTGGTGGCGTTGCTCGCGACATTTCCGTAAATACAAGGCTAACTTATTTACGAATTACCGTAACACGATTGCCGCTGGTAATACAGTTAGTAATCGCTTTATTGAATTTTCACTTAATGTGACATCGCCGAGCTCCTAATCAGATTTTTCTCCTTGTGGGACTACTTTTACGACTGTTGTATTTCCCGAGCTTCCGTCAGTGAAGATATATTTTATACAAAATAAATCTTTTCTTCCGTTTTAGAATAATAAAATTTCTGCACTCGAAGAGAAAATTTCT